GATGCATCCCTTGTACAGGTGCCTGGGTTGCTCAGGCCCTTCTTGTGGTCCAGGGGCTCGCTGAAGATGACAATCTGTTCGAAGAGGAAGACTCTTCTCTCCTTCCCCTTCCACTGCAGCAGACTGCTGTTGTCTGACACGATCATGGGGTCATGGAGCAGCAGCTTGCCCTGGGCATTGATGTTACCCTGTTGGTGTGGACAATCATTGTTAGAAACGACTAACATATTTACACTATCCCTAACACAAATCTACATTTTACCAGCCCGAATAGTTTTTCTTTCTCAAGTTATGTGTGAATTGCTTTTAATGTCTGAATCTGTACCCTGATGTTAACCTGCTTGTTAGAAAATTAATGACTAAAAAATTACATGTATACTATCCCTTACGCCAATATCTACCAGCCTTGTAGGTTTTTTTTCTCAACTTGTTTGAGAATTGCTTTTTATGTCTGTACGCCAATATTTTTGGGAAAAGTCCTTATTATAAATCATCATACCATCTCAACTTTTGAGAAATATTTGACATGGTGACCTACAAAAGTTACTAATAACGTTCTTCTTATCAAAAATTTTTATTATCATAGCAAATCTGAGTCAAAGTTTTTTATCAACACCCAAAATTTGACATAGTGACCTACAAAAGTTACTGATAACGGTCAGCATGAAAAATTCATATTTTCATAGCAAATCTGAGTTAAAGTCTTTTATCAAATTCAAAATTTGACATTGTGACCTACAAAAGTTACTGATAACATTCTTCGTCAAAAATTCTTAATATGATAGCAAATCTGAGTCAAAGTCTTTTATCAAATTTTGGACATCTTGACTTACAAAAGTTACTAATAACAGTCTGCATCAAAAATCTACATTTTCATACCAAATCTGAGTCAAGGTTTTGGTCAAATTCAAGAGGACAACAAATACATGAAAATAATTGCCCTTCAAACGCCTTTACTGAGTATAACACAAGTCTTACATCAAACCCTTGAAGTCTGCCGATGTTCATCATGTCGTTACATCTCTTCGGCACGACACACATGACGTTCACCGCGGCCTCCAGCTCTGCCGCGTCCAGCCCAGCCTTCTGTGTGTGCTTCAGAAGGTCCTTCAGTAACAACTGGTACTTCATAATTCTCTGCACCGGCTTGATCAACAAGTCGGGGAGGCTGAGTTTGTGTCCCAGCTTGGTACGCAGTTCCTCAAAGTACGTGTCGATGTACTCGGACACGATGTGCTCCGACTTGGGCTTGTTCTGGCAGTACACCACGTACATGTGCAGTCGGCGCTCGTACCGCAGGAACAGGTTGGCTACACGGTCCGGACTGTCGGCACATTTCTCTAGTTCACCACTGAAAGTACTGTAGAGGCATGATAAGAATAGATTTTAGCATTTCCAGCTCACAAAGCATTTTGTTTCTCAAATATATCGCAGTACATAAAAGACTGTTTTAAGTTTTCTTTTTTCCCCGCACGGTAAGCGAGTGGAACCAGCTGCCGGGCCCAGTGGTGAGGTCACCGACAGTAGAGGCTTTTAAGGCCAGGGTAGAAGCCGCCCTGCCCTAACCCGTGTACCGCTTCCCCCCCTCAGTGATACCCCGTACAGGGGTCGTCCGAAGGTATTTAAGAAGAAGAAGAAGAAGAAAAAGAAGAAGACATGACAATCCACATAACTTTGCAATAATAACAAGCCTACAATGAGGAATTTATATGCATTCAATTTACATGCTTGACAGCAAAGCAAATACTGGTATCTTGAAATGATAAATCGTGATAAACCAAAAACTGGTAAATTATCATGGTAGTTCATCTGTGTCTGTATCTGTAACTCTCCTGGATTTACATTTAGAAGTGAAAGGTCATTATTTATCCTGATGATGGTGACAGTGGTCGTTGAAAATTTAATCCGTGTGTACTCTTTGTGTTGGAATAAAGTATAGCATTGCACTATAAAAACTGATACAAATGGTAGACTCTGCTGTAAGGCTGGTACCCACTCTCTGTGCCACTCGTAGATCTGGTGAATGTTGCCAAAGACGATCTTGTCCTTGCCCTCCATGTCCTCGGGGATGCCCTGCTCCTTCATGGTGGCCACGTACCCGTCCATCACACTGCCCAGGTCCTTCACGTAATCACGCTCTGTCTCCAGAAGCTCTTGGAGGATGAAACTGTGGAGGAACGCCACAGGAAAAATGCTATCATTACATGTCTGTATATAGTAGAGGGGATTCATTCCTCAAGCTAACTGACATCTCACACACGTAGTCGTCCCTCAGTAAGACACCCAGAGCTGCATAGTTCCCGTTTAGAACTTTTATTCAGCCTGTCACACTGTGGAGGAACGCCACAGAGAAAAATGCCATCATTACATGGCTGTAGTTTAACAACTTCTTCATAAAAAAAAACAACATAAAAAGCAAAAGTACTTTCCAGACAGAGATTTCAGCTTGGGCCTATTTTTGATGTGTTTTTTTGACGTTTTATTGGGCTTTTGTACTTTTTGTAAGCCAGCCCAAAGGGTGGCAAATGGTTACTGGCCCTGTCAAATGGATACTGCTTGGGAAATTTTATAAAGTCTTTGCACCCACCAAAAGATCTGGTTGGAGATTAAAAATAAAGTACCATGTGGCTACATGGAAAGAACTATGGATTACATGATAATATGCTGATCTGCTATTTCCAGGAGCAAAGTTATCGGTAAGAAACAGACATTGTGCATGATGGAACATACCGTCTCTTCTTCAGTGCGCTGGCTTGTCTCTCCAGAGTGTCTCCCCTCCCTTCTGCTTGGTTCTGGGGTGCGCCCCCCTCCCCACCTTCTGCCTCATCTGGCAGGCCAGATTCGTCCTAAACATGAGGAAAAAAACTCTTCATTTACTTTCCATTCTGTTGTCATGAATGTACAAAAATACAGATATAACTGCCCTACATGCAATTAGTAACAAATAAGGGCTAGCTTGAGCCTGTACTCTTATTGGTGGGTTAATTAAACGTGGTTACGGTATGGCTCTCCTTATTGGCTTAACCTTCTCCCTGTTGTCAGATCTTACTACTATTGCAAATTTTGTGCCTAATGATTAGTTGGCTGTCGGGGGTTAAATTTTGGTTTAACCAATGGCATAAACAATTTGTGGTGTAGTGTGGCGTAGCGGCAGGGTTCTTGACTCGGAACCAAGTGGTCCCGGGTTCGATTCCTGACATGCCACCCATCTTGTGCCCTTGGGGAAGGCACTTAAGATGACTTTCCTCACTTCGCTCAGGTGAAAATTAGTATTGTATTGTCCCCTGTGTTGGTGGCGGCATTAACATAAGTTGAAAAAATTGAGTGTGCCATCACCACGTCTTGTGATTACATGTTGGAATATATATACATGTATTAAGTTAGAATATATATACTAAAAAAAAAGAAAATGGCATACAAGTTACTGTGATTACTGGTAGTTTGAGGACAAGTTAAAAGGACTCACCAAACGCTGTTTGGCGATGTTTTCGATCTCCGACACCAGGTCTGTCGTTGAACCAGCAACGTTCAGGGACCTCATTGACGCTGTCAGAGACTTTGGGGGGAAATGTGGAACTATAGTTACATGTACTGTTATGTTGAGAAGTGTCATCCACATGACAGCATTTACTAACATCATGGACACGCCAAATAATATGCAGCCTAAAACATAGTACGTTAACAAATTTACCAAAGATCATACTATTGCTTTGACAGAAATAAATCTAGAATAGAAAGAAACTCCGTTGTATAAGGGAACATGCTGCATCTGCTCACAAATGTTTGTATTCTAATGCTGTGTATGCAGGTATGAATCCTTTTGAAGCAGAAAGACCAAAGATAGCATGTTGGCAGAATGTACTGCGCTGTGCAAAACCCCCATTTTTCATAGTTTTCATTGGATTTTTGGTCAATGTTTCACCAGAATTTTGCCTGTTGCAGACAGTATTTTTCCCAACATAACGTTTGAAAACTACAGACGGGATGTTAACCTTATATGAGCGAATACGTCCTTTTAGGAGACGTTCTGCTGAAGTGCTATGCACAGTACATAACAGGTTTCATGCAGGTGCAGTAAGTTCTGCCGACGTGCTGCCAAAGATCTACATGTAGCTGGGTATATACATTAACAGTTACTTGATTAAGTTGTACCATTTTAGAAGCAGACAGGTCCTCCTGTGAGTTGGGTCGTGAGAAGCTGTGCTGGACGATCTCCATGGGCGGGGGCAGCGGCATGGCCTCGCTCTCCGGCTCTTCCTCCTCGCCTGCCGTCTCCACGCTGCGGGCGGCCGCCATGTTCTCCGAGCTGCCTCGTGCACTGGAGATCCGCTCCTATTCAGAAGTAGACATGTTCTGTATCTGTATCTGTATCAGTATAGCCGGTATAACCGCCCTTCGGTGCAACACGCCGGCTAATGTTATGTTTTAATCCAACAAACAAGGAAAAAAAATATGTATAATGTTTCGTTAATTACCTTGGCTTGTGCTTGATGTCCATTTTTGTTTCAAAACACACTAGTACGTTTAGTTTTTTGTGTGCCCTTTTTTAGGAGGAAAAGCCTAGGGTTGTACCATGAACAATTTATCAAAAATGTTTGCTTCAATTTTTTTCTATTCAAAGGTCTATTTTTACAGTATGCCAACACTGCATTCCATACTGTTCTGCATTGTGTCTTTTAACTACCCTTTTCTGCAGCTGTAACCTGGAACTGTGCAGGAAGTTCCATCCTGACTGATACTGATGGCTGTGACAGGCCATTTTTCTGCCTCATTAAATCCCATCACTTCTGGCATGTATCAGTCACCATTAGACAGACACTTGTTGATGTTTTAGCTCAAGGCTATCATGATTATCTGTCCCCCTTTATCTCCTGTTTACCCAGGATGTCCCTCCCCTGATAATTATCAAGGGAGGCTTAGGTTTATGTAAGGTTGTTACTCCATGAGGCTGTTTGAGGTAAGGTACTTTTTCCAAGAACACAGGAAATATGTTCGGAGAAGCACGGGGTCACTGAACTGAAGTTACATATGGTTGTACAGTACATGTACCGTCGTATGACGAGGTTACTGAGTGTCAAACACAGTTTGTAATGAGGTTACTGACTGGAAAAAAACAATACTGAGGTTACTGACTGGCAAAAAAATAATGAGGATGTCATTGACTGGCAAAAAAACAATGCAGAGGTTTTCTACCTGGTGAAAAAAAAAGAACAGAGAAGTTACTGACGGGCAAAAATAATGAGCTATTCTAACTGGTGAAAAAAGAATGGGGAGGTTACTGACTGGCAAAAAAAAACAATGACAATGTAACTCACTGGCATAAAAACAATGGCATAAAAATTAAATGTCATGAAAACGGAGTTTGGGGGTGAAAGTCTGTATCTCTCAGTTTAGGGAATCAACTAGCCAGATACAAGCTTTCCTCTCTGCCTAGTTTTTTCTAATACTACTAGTATGTTTCTAGATCTTTATCTAGAAATGTCCGAGAACCAAGGAGATGTACAATGTATCAGTGTAGCCTTTAATTAACTATTTTCTAGAACAACAGCTATCAAATTACACCCAAAATCCATTTTAGGTAGGGACTAATTCCCTTAGCCACTGCACCACTATGACATGTGCATGTACATGTATGAGGCGGCTGACCCTTTTGTAGGGTATTGACCCTTATGGCATGACTGGAATGAACCAGTTCTAACACTCCCCGGGGTCCTTATCCACTTCAAACATTACCTTCCAGATATATTATCTCCAAAGAAGACTGCTTGAATGAATCTCAGGAGCATCTGGACTGAGTTGAAGGGCCTACATCCATGTTTGGTCATGTCTTTCAGTTTGCAACTTGACACCTAGGGTCATTGACTGATAATTTTCTAATACCCAGTACTGCGCCAGCAAAATCTGCCTCAAACCACCCACACAATTGGATTAATAAAACCAGGACTGACATGAAATGGATGAAAAGTATCATAGTTCATACAGGGGGTTGAAAGCAAATGTCCAACTTAACTGATTATATTTAGCCCCCAAAGGCTTTATCATTGATTTAAAGCTTGAAAAGCTAATTTGGGGTGGTGTTTTCAAGACATGGCATTAAAACTTCATTTTTCACTAAAATTTTGAAGGGAAATACCAAGGAATATCAGTGACAATGTAGATCAAATCCATTGAGAAAGACAGCAATATGACACTGCATATTCTTGCAAAGTGACCTTGACTCAAGAACTATCACAGAGTGGAACTCGCTGCCAACAAGTACAGTCGGGACATCATCATTAGACAGCTTTAAACAATGTTTAGAGATAGATGTTCAAGGGTTAGGTGTAACAAGTCATTCTGTGTAATGTAGCCAGCTGCCGCCGTGCCCTGTGCCTGCAAAGCTGATACAGGTACAGACGGTTTTACAATAAAAAATTGTATTTCACCAATTTAGAAAAACTCTACAGACTGTGGTATATTGAATTCTATGATGACATTTAAGAATCTGAACTAAGACCGTACCTCGTCCAGGAGGTCTTCTTCTTGTGCCAGGGGCGGGGGAGTCGCACGGCCAACATCGTTGTGTCCAGACAACAGGTTCTACAACAACATACACAACAAACATTGGAAAAATTCACAAACAACATCAACTCATTCAACACAAACTGATTTTAGCTGTCTTCTGAAATTTGTCAGTTTACACTAGCCTCTACCAGGTTTCGGGAGGCGACTGGAAAGAGTAGAAACCATCCAAAAGAGATAACATGCCGAGGGAGTTGGTCCGGTAGAGGGAACTACTGTTTGCCACACCCTGGCATCTTATCTCTCTATCTGGCCGCTTTTCTACTCTTTCCAGCCACCTCCTGAAGCCTAGTACATGTAGAGGCTAAGTTTACACAACTTGGAATAGCGTAAGCAAAACTGAAGACCTCAATAACCAACAGCGAAGTCTGTCGGAAGAAATGTGCGTGCCGTTTGTTTGTCAGTCTCAACACTACACTAGTGTCAGCCATGTTGATGTTCTTGACTACTCAAACGTGCTGACACTGGGGTACATTATATACCTAGGAGTGAGCTGTGTTGGAAGACAAAAGGAAGTGGGTTTAAAATAACTTTAAATGCTTTAAGTGTTTCCTCTCAGGTACTACAGGTAAAACAGGAACTGTGAAATGCCATTGACCCCAAGTAAGACACCTCACCTGTATGCATGAATGGGTATTGTTATCTTTATTTCTATTGTTAAAGATCTGGAAGTTAAGTTTCTACCCGAGATGTTTATTATTTTGCTTAGTGTGTTTTTTATTAATAAAACTGACAAAGCTATGAATGGATTTTCATTATCTACATTTGTACTTTTTCTGTAGGCAACATTAGCTGGTGTGTTACGCCGCAGGGTGGTTATACCAGCATACCGATACAGATTATAGGTACATGTAGATATACATGAGTCAGAACATTGTATTGAGGATTGTCAAATCATGGCAAGATGCTTATATTTCCTTTTTGTGTACCTATGTTGTAAAAGACCTTATGAAAGTTACAGTTTATTATTGACGCAGTAGCATTGAATTCTGCCAAACAACATTTTCAACCTTCTTCCTGTGAAAGTAGCCTTATGACATAAAATTTGTAGGTTAGGTTAATTTTAAACAGGGTAGGAAGTCTGGGATGTATTTAAAGATACTGCTACAGGAAACAGGAAAGAATGAAAGCCAAAGGGGAAAAGTTTTATCAAAAGTAGGCCTGGCACCAAGGTTACTTGCAATCTCCAAAAGGCATGTGTTCTATCAATAACACCACTGGCACATAGCACATGTTCCATGTTGAGCATTTTCTTAGTAAACGTTATCTTTGCTCACACCCTTGTACAACTTTTCTTTTTCTGTAAATTAAATCATCCAACCAACTGTAACATTATTGCAAACTGTCACCAGGATAATCACAAATCTATCAATTGGAAACATTTTTCTTTAATCAATATCTGTCTAGAAATGCCTTTGTTTCAAAGGTATCTTTGATGTGATATTTCAGGGCAAAAAAATTGAAAAAATGCGACTAACTGTAACCATCACTTGAAGAAGCTTATCATTTTGAGCAGTTACATAAAGCTTCTGTACTTATTTCTTCAAAGAATATTCTTTTGTGTTCACACAATATTTGATAGTGAGATATGGTGATCATTCAAATCACGTACATCGTGAAAATCTTGCTGAAGTGTTTTATACGTCATGAAAACACAAAAGCGAAGCCAGGCCATTTCTTGAGACAAAAAGAAAACCGCTGAACACATGTGATAGTGACTAGAATACAGCACTTTAACTCAGAAAGAAGCAAAGACTTGAGGGTGATATTCTGGCCTCAAGTACTGATCATTTGCTCTAATTTTCACAAATGACATACTGCTGAGTAAGTCACAAGCCTATAAATGGCCAACTTGCGTAGGCACAAAATAGGTCAATGGTTGTCACTGCAGTATACGGTCTGTCTAAAGTGTCCTTGCAAAAGGAGCTCAGACATTTGACAGGTTTCAAAGTCCCGCATTTATCTGTCTGAGGAGGGCGTTATTGACATGAAAATCCCTGGCTCAAGCACTTTTCGACATTTGAGTCCGTGAATAGGTCAGAGTCTTCATACAAAATACATGCCACCGTCTAACCAAAAAGTGGCTCTAAAATACAGCTTGTTGACCACAGCAGCTGTTACAGTATTGACTGAATAGCTGGAACAGTTCTGAACTGTTACAATATATTTCTCTGCAGAAAGAAGACCAAACCAAAAAGTGACTTCTGGAGAAAAACCCTCTACATTAACCTACCTATTTGCGTATTCGCATATGTTGAACTTGTGCAGAGATATACACATACATATAGGAAACTTCTTTCTCCACTTACCAGCACGTTCAACTGTTGATACAGAATATTCTGAAAACCAGTGGAAACACTGCACTGTGCCTTTCCGTGCCTGTTCTTGGACATGCTTGCGCTGCTATGATGTACAGTGTTGAAGCTGTCTGATCATGCTGTGACTAGTGAGGCATGACAGTGGGAGATGGCTCCCGACCTTGTGACAACGTTAATGGCTTGTCTGTCCTTGATGTCGACCGTCAACGACACAACAGGCTGTTCTGATGGATTGCTGTCCTGTGCACTACTATTTCATGCCTGTTTAATTTGGAACTACTTTATTTTTTCCTAAGTGTAGTTTAATAGTTTTTCTTCATTACAATTATGGGTGTTTTGTGTGTACATTCTGAGATAAATTTTCATTAAAAAAAACTACTGGTGAAGTAACCAAAATTGTAGTATTAGTAGTTTTTTTTTCACTTTTTCAGAAATTCTTGAAGTACATATTCATGTACAATGTACAACAATTTCCCTTGAAAGTGCCTGGCATGTTAGTTTTCTACATGGCATGTGCCAAGGCTAAAAGTTGAACATTAACAGTGAGATGTTATGCCTATTGTGTATCTGTCTGAGACTTGAATTTCTGTGGTGACTTGATCTGATGCAGCATGTGCATCTAGTGTTGACCCAGGATTGAATCATTACTGTATTGCAGGTGTTTATTTCATGCATAGAGACATTGGCAAACACTCCTAAGTACTTTTGGGGCATATCATTCCTTATTCAAACAGCCCTGTTCAAATTTTCAAACACAGCTTGCATAACTTACAAGAGGTGACAGCCGGGATATCATTTTTGTGTCGGCCCTTTGAACTGTCAGTGATGTATATTTTACTAGTATTAGAGCCACAGATGTACTACTTACTATCTCCTTTGATGTCTTTTAATGATAGTAGAGATACCGTTTAAAGCTATCCTGTAATGCTCTTACTGTACTTGGTGAACAAGTTCTACAAATGTGTTAGGAAAAAAGAAATATTTGAACAGCTCAATCCAGGGTTGATAAAAATTATGACTGTTTTCTGAACTGACATTACATTCACCAGTTTCTTAGTCATTTTATGGCAGGTTATTAACCTTTTAATCAAAGACTTCATAAAACTATTGTTAAATCTGTAACGTTATTTTTTTAATGCACTGTAAACAAGACCCCTGACCTTCCCCTTGAACTCCAGAGAAACAGCTAAGGTCAAGTGTACTCTGTACAATCTCAAGGTTAAATGAAGGTTAAAAAAATGGTGGGTGTTCTCACCTTTCCCTTTTGTTTAGCCCCCAGGGGTTTCTTGCCCAGCCTCCCCGGGGGGAGTGGTGGAGGAGGGGGTGGGGGTGGTGGTTCTGGGATGGCCTTGTCCACCCGAGTGGACCCTGCACTGCTCAGCTTACGTACAGGGCTTGTCAGCCATTTTCTGTTCAGAAAATCAAACATATTTATAATTATCAAAGGTAATGAGAATAAGTTTCTGCAATTACAATAATCTAAAGCCAGACAGAGTATAATATTGTAAGTATGTCTATATCATGATCATACTAGTTAAGAATTAACTATAGCAGTTCTCTCTCCTAATCTAATAATTATGTTTACCATAGGAAAACATACGTTCAATGTTTTTGCTCAGTTTCTTCCTCTTATTCTTCTGCAAACAAATTAGGTCAATGACCTGAACCAGACGTCTGTCACCATGGTAACTGATGTTACATCATGTTGCAATTTTCTAGCTGCAGGAGAGATTTGAACTGATGTCACCATATATATATATATATAGAGAGAGAGAAAGACCACATATGAAGGTAAACATTGTGCATTTGCTCTGCAAATGTTACCTTTCTAGTTTAGTGAATGACCTGTACAGACCTGAAGCTTCCCGCTCGACGTTTGGCATGTGGAGAGGTGTGGACGGTGTTGGGGAGTGAGTAGGAGGACGTCGCTGGGTTGTGGCCGCTCTCCGCAGCTGGACACGGGGCAACCGTCAACGCATCTGCAACCAAAACACACAGTTCACATTTCTGAAAATAGTTTCATCAGGTTGGTAAAGTATAGGGTACAGGAGTTTTCTTTTACACAACCAAGATTTCTCACCTAAGTGCTTACATTTCGGTGTCTATCAGACATGTTAGGGATGGTGTTCTCACCGCTAAAGTGCCAGTCCTACATTGGCTACATTCAGTGGCAAGAAGCACAACTCCAGTCAGAAGCTCTGAGGAAGGTGTCTGATAGACACTGAAACGTCAGCACTTAGGTGAGAAATCTTGGTTGTGTAAAAGAAAACTCCTGTATCCTAAAAAAAAGTATACAGTTTACATTTTACTTAATTGTTCGGGTGGGCAAAATCATTTTACAATTTTGAGCAAAAATAATTCCGTATTCAAAGCCAGCAACAAGATATGAGGGATTTCAGACGTATGCAATCTTGTCTTCCTGAATTCCCCCATGTGGACCTCTAATTCTTGGCTCCCAACCAGATTCTGAAACCTTTGACCTCCTGTCATTCTGTCATTTCCCCACCCACAAGCTGTCAACCTATGTACTCTGTCCAGACCAGATACACAAACCCACAGCTCAGTCACCCAAAACAATACTGCCGTACCCAAAAGTTTCAGTTTCAGTTTATTTATTTAACCAGAAGATACACTCAGGTCATTTGACCTGTTTTTCAGGTAGATCTGGGTACAATAAAAATGCAGAAACAATACAATGATAACAACACAGTACATAGCACATAATAGCCATACAGCAGTACAAATACAATATAATTACAATGTAGGAAGGAAAAGGAACAACATTTTCTGCAACAGATCTATACTAGATCAATTTCTGCATATCCTGGTACCTCACATGTATCCATAACAGCATTGTAACTAAAAATAACCATTAAGCTGGTATGAGAAGGTAAAATTTCTTGGCTTGTCTTTCCTGAGAAAGAATTGATGTCAAACACTACATCTTCAGTGAAGTATATCAAACCAACTGTATGTCACCTCTGAAGGACAAAATGCCTACAAAGTCTGTTATATGTCAAATTACAAAAACAACATACAATGTATATAGACAGACAAAATTACAGAGTAGTAAAACATTTGGTTGATACAATTTGTTGGGTATATACCACGTCTTTGTTAACATTTCAGTAGATATTTAGAGAACTCAAGTATGTTTTCATTCCTTTGTAAATAAATGAATTTTGACAATGTCCTCTGCAAGTATTGTAAATGGACTGTACACCATACTTCATAATCAGTAACCTATTACTAGTACTGCAAATATGTGTTGAACTTTGAAGTCAAAAACATGTCTGCCAAGGCCCACTCAATAAACTTTTACCTACCTAAAGCTGTCTTAATGAAGAACACAGAAACTTCTGACATTGTCCTGAAGATTTAGTTAAGATTAAAGTTGAATCATTTAAGAAATACCATTACTGGTCCAGAGTATTGCTTGTTCCAAACAAGTCAATATGAGGATTTCCAACTGTTCCATTATAGGTCATAGAGGGGGGAAAATTGGTGAATTTTCTCTCTTTTCTACTTATACCTTTCTTTCAGTTGAAATTAGTTTTAATCTATGTTACTTTAATGTCAAATATTATCCTGGGCTTGTCTGGTACCAGTCTATTCCCCTTCATTCAGGAAAAATAACTACTGAACACCCCCTGGAATTCAAAATGGTATAGCTCTGCCAATGCTACTGCATCTACACAATTCACTAGACCGCACTCGTGCTACACTAAAAGCATAGCAATGGCGAAAATACATACAACTACATTAGATGCAATTAGTGAGCACAAACCTACGTGTACATGTATGTTTGCCTGGCAACACTTATACTAGAAATAGACCCAATGCAACTGCTGACCAGGGACTAAATCCCAACCAACCATTTCCATGAATGTAGACTAGTAGTTTTTTTAGAAGCAGTAAAAAACTAAGTAACATAATTATCATCATACTGGTAGGATTTTTGTTGTAAGATTTTCATTGAGTCTCTGAGTCTGACAGAACTGACAATTTATGATACAAAAGAGACGAATTCAGTAGAACTCAACAGGCTATAGCCTAGGGACTATTCCCAAAATGCTATATTTTTGTCATAACTGTGGCTAGATTTTTAAATTCATCTGCAGCATCATAGTCCTTTGCATCCTGACAGACGATCAGTGCACTAGGGGACAAATACACGATATTTCGGCAAAGAAGTTCTGAAAATGAAGCAAATTCCATCTGCAGTGGTGTTGCATGTATAATACTGTACCCACTACATGTACCTTTGACATTTCTTGCCACTATTTTGGGCGGTAAAGAGAAGTCACTAGTGGTTTTAAGCCGGGCAAAGATTACAGGTTATTGTTCAACCCTAGAGGGGGTTTACACAGCATGAGCAATAAGACCCCTCTAAGACCAATCTGTTCCAGACTAAACCAGTCTAAGCAAGTGCAGAATTATGATCCTCTCTCAACCTGCTCTAGCTTAAATAAACTGTGGAAATAAAAATGAGATGAAACAGACTCTGCTATTGGTTGTCTCTCTCTATATATAATATATGCATTGTTTATAGTATATTCAGTACATAGTGCTGCTGGTTGGAAAATTTATTGCATATTGAAATAGCATAAACATGATATGAGAGGCACATAATATGAGAGAGTCTTTGCAGTATATACTGAGAAATAGGTCTTTTGAGGGCTGTTAACTGTTTCAATATCCGACAAGACCTCTAGATCAGAAACAGACATTTCATGTACAAATGTATTTAATATATGCTCAAATCATTTACTGAGAACTGTCATTAGGGATAGAAAGAAGATACCAAATAGGACTAAAGGGGAGGAATGTGCAAAAGTTGAGAAAATACAAAAAATGCTAAAAAAATACCAAGTATTTCTGTACAGAAATTTCCGGTTATTCTAATCCAGAAAAGAAAACTGTTGTTCACAAGTATTATGTAAAAATGGAAGGATACAATGTACTTTGGGAATATGTGGTTAAGGGCTAATTACTTTAGACCGATTACTGGTAGTCCTAATTCCTCTACAATATAATGAATTTAGCAACCAAGCCCTTCCAAGAAATTACTTGCCTGTCTATACTGAGTTACTGGGTTTCCTTAGAAGATTTTAGCTAAAATGTCAAAGTAGCCTTCCTCTTATTGGTAAGGACCTGAATATGTCAAAGAGTCTTCTACATGTACATGTACTAAGACAGCATAACTGTTACAGTTACCATTCATTCACGTAGCAGGTTTGGTTTTCATTGATATTTTCACAAAATATATTTTCCATTCCAAACTAGAAAGATAGAAAAACAAAAAAGGTAACATGAATATAATACTGCACTGTCTCGTGAATCAGATATATTTCAATAACTTGTCATGCCCTATATTATTTGACTTCTTGAAGCTTGATGAATGAAAGTAGAAACCAGTTGAATATTGTTGTCTGGTCAGCCGTCATCTTTCCCTCAGTCATCAATATATCTATATTATCCCTATAATTTACATACATGCACCATTACATATACATGTATAGCCAATTTTTGGGTCAATTGCACATAATGAATTACTTGTATAGGTTGGGTTGAATGATGATGTTTTTTTTTTCAAACTGTTAGCTGACACCACATGATAATATGTACTGGTTTATAGTGTCTTTGCTGTATATCTACATGTAAAAGACCCTCCCATACCCTAAGTATGCTGATTATAGATTTGAAAGTTGTATTTGATAAAGGTACAGAAAACGGGAACATCAAGTATGTAGAAAGAAATTCCACATGCCAAAACAAAATAAAATTTTCCATGAAAAACTGCTTCTAAATTTCTTTGGATTAATATTTTGTGATTATCTTTGGGCTAAATATTTGACTATCCTGGATAAATGCACATAACCTAGACTCCTGTGTGATACATTTTTATTCTAGGACAACTCAGCAATAAATTATATCACATAAGCCATATGTGCTTATATGATCAAGTTTTCATAGCACACAGCCTGGCTGGTTATTAAGATACAAGTAATTTCCCAGGCCTAATTATGAAATAATTACTGTAGCATCATTAAATCCCTGTATGCTTCACTCAACTGTATAAACTAATTGGCCAGAACCTATTTCAAGCCATCGGTTTATTGCAATAAAATGTCACTGTGTAGGATGCTAATTTGAAAATGACAATTAATTCACCTGAAACACAGGACTACAAGGTTGACATAACAAACTTTTATACATTTTGGTATGTAAATGAATGCAAATATATATACGTACAACAATTTATTAATGATTACATACATGTACATGTATATGTATGAACATATTTTAATGCTTTAACACATATTGAATAGCCAATACCAATTTATTTCTGTACATGTTGCTCCCATACATCTAATAAAGTAAAAATTTTTTCTTTAGCCAGAAGATTACATGAACTGGAAGAGATTTAACTTGACTTTGACTATATTCACTCCCTAAAACAACTTAGGAACCAAGACTTTTCCCTCCGACTGTTCTCACGTTGATATTCTGGTTCAGCAATCTGTTTTTTAAACCCGAGAATTAAAATCATTAAGGCCTTATCGTCCTAAGAATGTTTAAGAAAACATGACTTTCTTTCTGGAACTTAAGATGGCCTAAATCTTTATCTGGTTGATGATTTTCCACAGATGTTCTTAGGTCACCTAATCACAGTGTAATCTTCCTGGCTCCTTCATGCTCTAATAAGAAAATGATGGTTGGAGTTTTTCCAGAGGTGTCAGGGACAGGAATCTACATATTAGGCTGTGCTCAGAATACTGTCCATTTTATATGTCGACCACTAAAAATACATGTAGCTCTCCTTGCAGTGTTAGAAATTCTCATCTGAACTCTGTATTTTGCAGAGATATTTCTGATATTGCAGAAGAAAAATTAAGCAACCTGCAATTTTGCAGACTGAAAAAATCAGGCTAGGATTTCAATGGTGTTTAAGAGCTTTTGTGTTTACTACACAAAT